GGACACCGCTTGTATCAGGACTAGTTTTGAATGATACATAATGTTCTCACAGCCTTTTGGATTTGGTAAGGCTGTGTCCATTTCACGGAGGAAATCGTGTAGTAAGTAGTAGAATCAGGATTTGAACCTTGATCATTCAGTGGTCCAAGCTCTTGATTGTTTCAAGCAAACCTCCATGTTTCTTCTTCAGTCTGGGCTATGTGCATCCAGAAGGTGAGAAAAGAGGAAGTAACTCCTCTCCCTCGTCTGGTGGGAACACTCACCATTTGGCATGGAGTCTTTATTGTGGGTTCTGAGGCATTAAAGAATGCAGAAAGTGTTTGATTTTTTAAAAAAACAGCTAGCACAGCATGGTTAGCACTGAATGAATGTTGGCTAAATATACATATAGATATAAATGTATAGCCCATTTTAAAACCTGTTTTCATTCAGTGCTTGGATTCTGGGGACGACCTTCCATTTCCATCACAAGTGGCTTCCCTGGCCCTGGTCTGCTGACAGAAGTTGGGCAGTCCATGGCTGTTCTGCCTATTCTATCTCTGGCTTCAAGATGTCCATACATTGTCATGCTTTCTTCAGTCATCTGTAGATTTCTTCTAAATCTCTCCTTTTTCCATGACTTCCTTCTATCAGATCTCAGATTTTGTCTTTTATACCAATTGTATCCCAACCAGTACCTTAGAGGAGATCGGGTGATGTTGTGGCACAAAGCGCAGTCTGTTAATGGCAGATGCCTCCGGATGAAAAGTATTTGTTTGTTGTACTATGTTTCAACTTTTTTGTAGGTTTGAAATGTTTCAAAATAGGGGCGCCTGGGTGGCTCAGTCCCTTAAGCATCTGCCTTCTGCTCAGGTCATGATCTTAGGGTCCTGGAAACAAGCCCCACATCGGGCTCCCCACTCAGTGGGAAGTCTGCTTGTCCCTCTGCCTCTGCCCTTCCCCCTGCTTGTTCTCTCTCAACCTCTCTCTCTCTCAAATAAATAAATAAATAAAATCTTAAAAAGAAAGAAAGAAAGAAAGAAATGTTTCGAAATAAAAAGGGTGGGGAGAACCTGGTGTTTAAAACCACACGAAGCCTCTCACTAGCTGTGATACTTGGGCAAGCTTCCTAACCTCTCCCAGCCTGGTTTCTGCCTTTATGAAATGTGAGTAATAAAGTATCTCCCTTGTAAGTTGTGTGTTGAAAATGAAATAAGACAATGTATATAAAGTGCCTAGCTGGGTTTCTGACAACTGGAAAGAAGCCAGTTGTCATTTTCCAACCAGCTCAAATCTGCAGGGCAGAGATATTCTTGTCCCCTGCTCCCCACTTCCAAGTACTCAAGCCCCCAATCCTCTCTATCCAAATACACATGTCTAGCAGTTATTTCCAAGGCCACATGATAATACTGATGTCCTGCCTCAAGCTTCATTTCAGTCAAATTGCCCTCCCAGAAGCACTCCTTCCTACCATTTGGCCAAACTCCCAGCTTTGTGGCCAAATTGCTCTATAATCGGTGGCATCCCATCACCTGTCCCTTTCCTAGCACCTTCAGATTGCATCCAGAAGCCATCCATGCTGTCCCCAAACTCATGGCTTGAGCTGTAGAGCTACATATCTTATGGTTCCATTCATTTGAGAACCTTGCCACCCAAAGCATCATTTACATAACACCAGAAGTGCTCCTGGCAGGACAGAGCATTGCAGCATTTCCACTGGGTTCCTATTTTCTTTGTGTGATATTTCTCAAATGGATTGAACTGTGACCCTTCTCACTTTTAATCCCCAGGACTGACAGTGGATGTTACAATCTCCTCTTTTCATAAGTACTGTTACAGCTTCCCTTCTTCAGACTCTCACCTCTCATCATGCCCCTTTCACCTGATCACCCTATCACCATTTCTGAACATGCCTTGCCCCTTCAGGATCATTGGCCTTTTCACATTGCTATTCCTTCTGTATAGAATGCCCTTCACTGTTTTCTAGCTAGCAAATTCTCCCATCCCCTGTACTACAGCTCAATGTCGCCTGTCTAGGAAGCTTTTCCTGTTCTACTCTTCAAGTTATGCATTTCTTCCCTGTGCTCCCACCATGCTTGATACATCTCTTTCCCTCTCTCTCTCTCTCTCCCCCCCAGACTCTGAGCTATTAGAGGACAGGAACTGTTTCTTATTCATCTTTTGTCGCTAGCACCAACCTAATGCCTGGCTTGTGGTAAGCCTTGATAAATATTTATTGAATGAATGAATTCATTTTGCATTCATCTTCAGATCATCTTTACGTATAATAATGGCCCATCGGGGGCTCTTTAGAGTTCAGAGCTGGGCATCGAGAAACTGTTGGGATTCTCTATTTGTGAGTCATGATAAGCCCACTGAAACTGTGCTTATTTTATGAGAGACTGTCTTCCAAACTAAAATTTCCAGAGTGCTTCCAAGTGTGAAGTCATATTGTTTGACATATGTTGCCTTTTGCATGGGAATTGGTCAAACTTCTCAATGGGACAGCGTAGGGTATGGCCCAGCACCTTACCAACAACTGCTCTCCTGTGTCCACCCAGGAGCACCACCCTTTACTCCCCCTTCTGCTTTAACACACCAGAGCATATCACAGATGCATATTCATCAGTTTGGCAGGGCCACTAAGGGTGAAGGTTACATCTGTCAGCTGACGTTCACCTTGCCTTGCCTCTGGAACCAAGCACCTGCAGAGTGTTCAACAAACAGGTGCTACCTGGCTTAATTTCAGCTCAACATGTGTTTAGGTTTCCTGCAGCTACCTGGTTGTCACATATGCCTGGTCCAGGAGAGCTGGGTGACACGGAAATGCACCTGCTAGTGATGGTCTGTGCAATGACACTGACCAGAAGACAGAGTTCTATGCATAAGTCTAAACTCAGTCATGACCTAGAGGAATAAATGGTGGAGATTAAGAGCATCTGAGTTCCCCGTCTGACTTTAATGCAATCTGTCTTATCTGACATTGGAAGTTATGTAGTTTTTTCTCTTAGTTTCCCCATTTGTAAAATAGACACAGTTAGAGAACCTTCTTATAAGTTGTTGTGGGAACTTAGTGAGATGATTTTAAAGTGCTTAGCACAGGCTTAACAAAAGAGGGACTCAGTAAATGAAAGCTGACCTTTGACCTTTTTGGAAAGACGGAGTTTCAATGCATAGTGGCCCACTGGTCAGCATCCTAAACTGGCCTCTAAAAACAGATGTAAAAGGAAGGGCTGCCAAGCCTCTCTCCTCACTCATTAAGATCTCTGACATTATAAATCTTATTCTCTCTGCAACACCTAAACTTCACATGTCATTTCTTAATATTTGCTAAGCCCATGAATTCACTACTTAAAACACTAATGTTGAACTGGTCCTTGGAGATCATCTCATCTAACCTACTTACTTTAGAGAATGCTAAGGATACTGAGACCTGAAGAGAGGATGAGCCATGCCTAGTATCAGACAGCTAAGAAGTTGCAGAGCTGGAGCCAGAACCAGGTTTCCAGGTGGGATGGCTCTCCTCTTTCCAATACACTTTGCTGTCCCTCCCAGAGTCACGCTTCCAGAGGCTCAGCCATGTTTTCCCTCGGTCTTAGGGTTCCTGAGGCCACAGTCTTCTTTTCTGAGCAGCCAGCACCTCCAAGTATGACAGGGGCCCACATAGAGTTCTTGATGGGGCTAGGACACAGGGGCAGGAAACAGACTGTGGGACACATGTACCATCACCCAGGGCCCCAGCAGTAATCACTGCCAAAGTTTCACTTACCCTCAACAGACCCACCCCTACTTAGACTTTGGAGAACACTGAATTTTAAAGACAATCGAGATGACTCTTTTCCACCATCACCACCTTGCTCTGGTTCTCATTTTACAGATAAAGAAACTGAGGCTCAGGGAGGTGAGGGAACAAGCCCAAGCTCATACAGCTATTCAGTCTTCGAGTTCAAGCCAGTCCTCTTTGACTGCAGTGAAGTGCTGAGGGTTAGATCTGTAAAATGGAAACTAGAGCACTTACAAAATATGGTTGCTAGGAGGATCAGATGAGCTCGTGAAGGTGAACCTGCCAATAGAAGAACCATCTAAGGGAAGGAACCGTCTTAATTCATCTTTGCATCACCAGTGCCTGGCACGCTGTTGGTAATCAATACATTTTTTTTTTAAATCCATGAATGCATAAGTGAATGAATGAATGAATTTTAAAAAATGAGCCACCTAGCAGAGGTGCCTGGAACACACGGGATATTGAATAAATGCTCCTGTCCCTCCCTTGCTCTGGAGGGTGGCAGCCAGACCTGCAGTCTCTGTGCCTGGCACTTGGTAGGCCTTGATGAGTATGTGTGGTGAGGTAAGTGACTCTCAGGGGTACTGGGCATTCAAGGCCATGGGGAAATGCATGTCTTCTCAGCCAGAAGCAGGGGCGTGTGCTCTGAGCCGCAGGTAATGGCAGGCCGCCTTGGCCAGGGCTTCCCTCCGTTGCAGGGTAAGGGCCACCCCTCTTCCAAGCTGACCTTGGCCCACTATTAGCCAGGCTCAGTGTTAGGCCTGGCTGCATGCACCAGTGGAGGGCAGAGGCAAATCCTTCCAGCTGTAGATCAGCCAGTGATGGGGATATGACCACAAGGAGGTACTCCACCCAGGTCAACTCAACTTCATTCCATTCTTCCATCCTGCCTCTCCTTCTCTGTCTCCTTGAGGCTTCACATCTCAGTCCCGTGTCTGCTGACTGAGTAAATGAGTATCTAGAAGAGTGCCTGGCATAGAGTAGGTGCTCAATAAATATTGGTGGAATGAGTGAATGAGTCAACGAAAACAGGACTGAAGGAAGAGACAGGCTGACTGAGGTGTGTCTATTTATTGGCATAGGGTCCTACAGGGCCAAGACCCCTCCCTCCCCACCCTCTTCCCTGTAAAAATAAACTCTGTCCTTCTCTCTCCCTGCTCTATCTGCTTTTCTGCTTGGGCCAGGGAGGACCAGTACAGCCCCTATGACTTATGCCCCAAGACACAGGAACCAGCATTCCCCTTCACATACACACCATACATAGTTCCCCTCTGAGCCCAGGGAAACTGGGAGGCAGCAGGTGGGCTTGTAAAGGCCCTCAGGCTTCCACTAGGAGCTGAGCACAGCTGGTCTGTCAGTGAGGGTTGGCAGCAGTATTGGGAGAAGCAGCATAAGGAACATGGGTTGGGGGTAGCCCCTGAGAGTGGAGCTGAAAGTGGCTGGGTCCACTCCCAAGTGGGCACTGAGCGGGCCTCAGAGAGAAGTATGGGAGGCACACCACCCAGGCCCTGCGTGGTCCGAGTGCGACAGGCACAGCAGGCCCCGAGGCCACCAAGTCAAGTGATCTTAGGACTAGAAGAGGCAGACTCCTTTCCGTGGGAGCTGATGCCTGCCTCCCCCCCAGGCCTCTTCCAGGCAGGGTGACATGGAAGGATGTCACAGTGAATGGTGGGGCTCTGCTGGAGGCAGGGGGTACCCCCAAAGCAGAGGCACAATGTGGTGTTTGAGGGAGGACCAGGACTCATGTCCCCTGTGGTATGGAGGGCATACCACATTTGCCTTCTCTAAACCTGGAGCAAACAGCCTTGCTGGGCAAGCTGCCCCAGGTCCTGGCAACAGCGAGCTATTTCTCCCCAGCCCCAGGTCTACCACACCTCACACAGCTGCCCTGGGTTCATGGGGGAGCCGACGGGGCAGCCGAAGTGCCGCAGGAAGTCACGGGAGTTGGAGAGAGTGCCCAGCACGCGGAAGCGGGCAGGGCTGTGGGGGTCGGTCACCAGCCCCTCGTGAGAGCTCTCGGGTGTGCGGACTGAGCACCACACCTGCGGGCCAGGACAGACATGGGGACATATGGTGTCTAGTGCAGGTAGGGCCCACAGACTGGGCTGCAGCAGAGCCCTCCTGGGGACACAAACCACCACTACCCCAGCCCCTCCGCTCAAGAGTCCTCCAGGACACGGCCAGCTTCTCAGCTACAACCCCTTGCTCTCAGCAGCGAGGGAGGGAAACGTGCCCTCCCTCTCAAATTCCTTGAAGGCCTTTCAAAGCTGCCCTGGACACTGGGTTGCCGAGGATGGATGCAACTGAGGGGAATAGCATGCCCCCCAGAGACTGCCTGGAGTAGTGCAAAGTGCCTTGAAGAGACCCTACCTGAGTCCTTGCTCTGCCACTTGCTTTATTCCTGGGTAGCCCTGGATGGACCACTTTGTCCGCAAGCTTTAGTTGCCTCCTCCAAAGCCACCTCACAGGAATGTGGTGGGGATCAATCCTGTACCCTACCCTCTGCCCCTCAAGCAGGGCAGCCCTCCCCTTTGGGATCTACAAAAGCCTCCTGAAGAGTTGTCCTTCCTCGGGCCTCCTGGCATGCTTCATGAGCCCCCGCTGAGAAGCTCTGGGCACCAGACCTTCCCAGACCACCTTCCACACCCCACCTTCAGCCCCATTTCCCAGTCCGTTTCCTGCATGCCCCAGACGTCTAACAACATGCCCAGGAGGGAGTGGGAGAGGGGCAGGCCCCAGATCTCCTAGGAGGGCAATACCTGGGCAAATCCCACAAAGAAGAGCTGGTGATTGGTGAGCCCCACAGCTGGCAACTGCTGTTCCTCCCCGTGCTTTCTCAGCCACGCTTTGTAAGCCTGGAGTCAGGCACAGGGGCGGCAAGTCCGTCAGGGCTTGCCCACCACCTCCACCCACTGCCCAGCCCCCCCCACCCCCCCTGGGCAGGTGGGCCTCAGCCACCGGAGGCCGGCCAGGCCACTCACGTTATAGGCAGCCTTAAGCCCCCCGTTGTCAGCGATGTTCTCCCCCAGCGTCTGGCGGCCGTTGAGCCTCTCCCCGTTGACCTGGTACTGGCTGTACTGTTCCTCCATGCAGGCCGTGTGGTTCCGGAAGGCCGCCAGGGACTCGTTCTGCCACCAGGGCCGCAGGTTCCCTTCCTTGTCATATTCGCGCCCTGAGGAGAACTAACCTTTGCGCCTCGCCGAGACTAGAGAAGCCTTCCACCAGCAGACTCCAGGCTCCCGGGGGGCCTGCTCCCAATATTCCAAGGCCTTCCAAGAAACACTGGGAATTCTAAGCTGAAGGGGGCAACTAACTCCAGGGGCCTCTACCTTGGTCATCAAAGGCATGTGTCAACTCATGGCCCATCACCACGCCGATGCCACCAAAGTTCAGGGCCCTGGTGGGTGAGGAATGCTGCATGAGGACATGGTGGGGGGACTTCTGGACCCCACCTCCAGCCCTGTGCCCGGCTTCTCCACAGGCCCAGGCCCCAGCACCCAGCCCCTCCTGCCTCAGACACACTTGGGGTGGTTACGGGTGTAGAAGGGGGCCTGCAGAATGCCGGCAGGGAAGACGATTTCATTCTTGGTTGGAAGGTAGTAGGCATTCACTGTCTGGGGGGTCATGCTCCACCTGGGAGAGCAAGAGGGAGAGGCTGAGGCTCCTGAGGCTCCTGACGCCCCACCCAGCCCAGCAGCCCTGACCTACCTCCTGCAAAGACCTACCTCCTGCAAAGACCTTGTGCTTCTGGTTTGAGATGTCTTGCCACCCCCTTCCCCAGCCCTGGAACTCTCCCCTACCTCTCCTGCTGCCCCAAGTGTCTACAGCCCCCCATTCTCACTGGTCCCGGCTGGGAGGCTTGCGGAGCTGGTCAGCCATCACCTTAGCAGAGAAATTGTACAAATTCAACATGTTCTGGAAGAAGGAATCTTCAGAGACTTCATACTATGGGAGTGGCGGGAAGCAGAAAGCAAGCAAGACAACATGTTGGAGAAGAGAACAGTCCCGGTTTGGCTACTAATTAGCACCTCTCTGAGCCTCAGTTTTCCTCAACGGCAAAATAAGAGTAAAATATTTAGGAAATAATAAGTGCCAATACTTAAAAGAGTATTTATGTTGCTGGTGCTTTATTGTTTTACATCCTGCCTCCTTCTTTTCTCACAACAACCCTATGAGGTTGGTGCCAATAGGATCCCCGTTTTACAAATGAAGATACTCAGGCCCAGAGAGATTATATAACTTGTCCCAGGTTACACAGGTAGGTAGGAGTAGAACCAGGATTTGTGAACACTGCATTCTACTGCTGCCTAGCCTGCAGCCTGGCACAGAGCCAGCACGTGAACAGTGTCCATTGCCCACACTTGCCTCTGAAAGGAACCAACAGGCACCTCCTTCCCTTCCAGGGCTTGAGCCCCAATTACTGATGGAGAATAGAGCCCTGCCTCCCACCACCTCAGGGATAAAGTTCAGCACTGGTGAGCCCAGGTACTCACCCCATCATAAACATCATCCAGCTCTTTGGGCTCCAGGATGAAGTCCGGGAAACCAATCATATCATAGATAGCGTCTGCCTGAAGAGACCAGGTTAAGGGTTTCCCTCCCCAGGCTCCCCCCCAAAAAACTGTATCATCCATCTCCACCTGAAGATGGCACCCCAACCCTGGCCATGGCTCACTTTCTCCTTGGCTGCCTGGCGGGTCTTCTCATCCATCCAAACCAGCTGCCCCAGGGCCTCCTCAAAGGCGGTCCGGATCTCGCTGATCATCCCCTCAGCCTAGAAGGAAGGGGGCATAAGTTGGCCTCCCGCTGCACTGATGCATTCTATCCCCCGCCGCCCCCCCAGTCCACCCCAGTGCCCCATCCCTGTCCTTCCAGGGGAGTGTGTGGGAGGGCCCCCAGACTCGAAGTAAAGCTGAGCATCTTGGGAAGATGAGAAGGAAACACCATTTGTGAAGATACTGAGATGGCGGGTGACTTTTTCTCTAATTAATAAAAAAATTTAACTGACAATAAGTTGGTTGAATTAATATAATTTAATATAGTGCGTTGATTTTTATCTGATTATGGAAGAAGGCATTAATAGCAGAAAATTTGGGAAATTGAGAAGAGGCGAAGAAGGAAACAGACCACTTATAATCCCATCACTCAGAGATAACTCCTTTTAACATTTTGATTATCTACTTTGAGATTGAGAGTCTGTCCCTGCCCTGATGTACATATATAACATGTAATTATGTTGTGCAACATACAATGGTAGAAACATTACACTGGCAACAGACCTATCCACAGAGACCTGGTATCTTGTAAACTACTCTTTTTTTTTTTTCACTTAACAATATATCATGAGTTTTAGGCTGCCTCATAATCCACCCTAACCATAATCTTTCTTCCAGTCCCTATGATTAGACATTTCGGCTATTTTCATTTCCGCCTATTATAAACCACACTGCAAGAAACATCCTTGCAGATAATACTTTAAGCACACTCATTATCATCTCCCAATAAATAAATATTATTTTCCTAACTCTATAGGCAACATATACTCATTATAGAACATTTGGAAAACACAGAGAACTTTAAAAGACAAAAAGAACCCCTCCTAATCCTACCACCCAAAGTAATTACTGTTCATTTACTGATGAATTTCCATTCAGTCCCTGCCCCCTTCCCCCCCCCCCCAGGTACACACATGAATGAATAGTGGATTTGAACTAACACAAGAACACTAGTTAGAAGAACCTCGAAGACTCACAATTTCCTTGCTTTGCCGGTCGAACGTGGCCTTCACAAAGAGGGAGCCCAAAGCGAAGCCAAGTGCATCGTCTGTGTTGGAGATGCAGGTCTGCCACCTTGGCATGCAGGACTGTAACGGACAAAGAGCCAGGCCTCCCAGAGATGGCTCTGTTCTCCAGTCTGAGGGCCCTTCTCTTCTCTGTCTCTGGAGCCAGCCCTCTCGGCTCTGAGCAATGGCAACCTGGGCTTGGGGTGCTGCCATCTCTCCCTCAGACTCCAGGGAAAACAAAGGGCAGAACTGAAAAGTGTGTCAACTCCAGCAGCAAAACCTCAGGAGGAACATGTGTGCTGCCCATTCTGCGCTCAGTACTCTCCTCCTCTTAAGTGTCTAAGGGGCCCACCGGGGGCCAGAAGTTTCTTTGCTCAGCTCCATATCCCAGTCTTATAACCAGTCAGTCCCCCATGCCAGAAACCCGCAAGTCACCAGCTTCCTCCAGCTCCCTACACCTACATTCAATCTATCACCAGTGTCTACGACCCCGACTTCTTGGTCCTCTCCCCTATCCACCCTTTTGCCACTTCCCTGCCCTACAACACTATCATCTCTGGCCCAAAGATTGCAGTCACCTCCTAACTAGACACTCTGGCTCCACTCATCCCCCTCCCATGTCCCTCCCCTCCATCTTCCATTCAGCTGCCAGAAAGATCATCCAATACATAAATCTAACTGGGTTATTCTGCTTAAAATCATCCCATGGTTCCGCATTGCTGAAAGAATCAAGGCCTGACTTCTTACCAAGCATTCGGGTCCCTTCATGGCCTGCCCCAGGCCGACCTCACCGCCCTCAGCCTCTAAGTCGGCCTGTTCCCAAGCTCATAACAGAGCACATGCAAGCCCATGATGTTCCTGGCCTCTGGGAATTTGCACCTGCTATTCTTTCTGCCTAGAATGCCCTTCTCCCTTGCTCCCTTGGTGAACTAATTCTTCAAATGTCACCTCTTCATAAAGGACTGTCCTGATGCCTCACCCTCCCCCAGGTAGGATGTGCTATCCCTTCTTCTGTTCTGTAGCACAAAGGTCTTTCACACAATGTGAGCCCTCATCACCCTAAAATACAGTGTTTGTTTACACGTCCATGTCCCTCACTTCATGGGGCATCTTGAAACTAAGAACTACATTTATCCCTCTTCTTAGGCATCATCATCAAAGCTGAGTGCCTCTGCATACAATGCACTGGCGCTTCACTTACATCAGCTCAGTCCTCAAGACAACCCTGCAAGCTATTCCTATTTCACACACCAGGAAACGGAGAGACCGGGTGACATGCCCAACCAAGGTCCCGTAGGCCAAAAAATGAAGGCGTTGGGATGGCAACCCAGGTCATCTTGATTCCTATGCCTATGCTCCACACTCTACCATGAGGCCATGGTGCCTGACACACAGGCACATTAGGCTGGACTGGAAGGTGGGGCAGAGTCAGAAATCCCACCTTCTTGGTGCCATAGAGGGTCTCCAGCAGTTTCTCCTGTGCAGACTCAAAGCGGTGGTCCAGGCTCGAGGTTGTCTTCTGCACCAGGTTCCAAATCAGGTAATTGTTCAGGATGCTGGCATCCAGACCAGAACGTAAGGAAAGGGCAGGTGCGGTACCATTTCCACCCCAAATCTGCTCCACGAATGTGCAGGCAACAGAAGTCCTGAGAGGCATATGTAGGAGCTGTCCCAGAATCCCTCTGTCTCACCCTGGGACCACACACCTGCCTGCAGAAGTCAGCTTGGAGCAAGGTGTGGGAATAAAGAGTGTAAATGGGCCCCCTGAAGCCCCAGCCTAGGGGAACGGCCTGCAGACATTCTCTTCGATGTCTGGAAGGTCCAAGGCCTTGTCAAATGCTGCTCTGTGTCTGGCTGTGTCAGACCCCATGCCCAGTCCCTGCATGGACCTGCGTGGAGCTTTGAGCCCCACCTCCCACACTTTGGGCTCTTCCCAACCTTGGCTCTGTGTGGTTGATGAGCTCTGACACCTGCTGCAAATAATCCGTCCCATACACCACCACGGGCTCAGAGTCTCCCAGCTCCAGCGGTGACAGCAAGAAAGACAGAAACTCCAGCCAGTCTATGGAGGGCGCCAGGGCCTACAACCAAAAAAGAAAAAAAAAAAAAATCTCAAGCCTCCTTGCCTGTCCTCCTGGCTGCCAGCAGACCCCTCCCCCATTGATATGCCAGAGCCTGGGAACACTTCCCACTGCCATGGCAACATCTAGTAGCTGCTTGGTAGCCCCTTCCTGCAATAAACCTTTTTCCAGGCCCAAGTGCTCCTCAATCTGGGAGCCCCATCACTTATTATACAAGAAAAACCACCCTATATAATATTCAGCTAGGGCACATTCAAATATTTTCACAACAGTTGATAAAATCCAACTCCCTTGACACCATCCAGGGTCCCTACATAACCGGTCTCTCCTTCAGAACTCCCCACCCCCTTACCCAGCCTCTCCATCATCCAGCTGAAGGGTTGGTTCCTGGCACAGTAAGGACCCTCCAGGAGATGCTTCCAAATTTCTTTTGATTGTTTTGCGGACATCTTGTACAAACTGTTATAGATTTCTACCATGATCCCTCTGTGCATTCCCTAGGCAACACGAAAGGGGACCAGGGGATGGCCTAGTGAGAGGTGACCTAAACTGGATAGTAACAGAGTGGCTGGGAAGCTCTCAGGAAAGCAAGCAAATGCGGAAAGGCCTGGCTGCCACAGGAAGGCGGCAGGAAGGAGGGCGGGGAGGTCTGCTCCAGGGGCTGGGCCCTGCCGGCTGACTCTGCTCCCCGGCTGCCCCACCTGCAGCTCCACGATGCTCATCTTATGGTAGATCTTCTCCTCATCCCGCCTCTGGTCCTGGGGCACTGTGATGCTGGCCAGCTGCACCTCCAGCTCTAGCACCCGCCGCATCTGCTCCCGTGTGGAGGCGGGCCGCCCGCCCAGCAACATCCCCAGGTCCTCCATGTAGTCCAGGTAGGCGGTGAGGACCTGGCAAGGCCTGGAGTCATCCTGGGAGCCCAGCAACAGGTCCTGCCCAAGGCTGAGAGGGCCTGTTCTGGCCCCTGCCTCTACTTACCACCTCCTCTGCTGACCCTCCTCTCAGAAGCTTTCTTGGACAGTCCTGTTCTGTTTCTGTTATACTGCTTACCACCATCTGCTAGGATCTTGTTTATTTATTTGTGTACTTACTTATCATCTATTTCCCCAAAGAGAAGGTAAGTTCAGGAGAGCACTGTTGCAAGTTACAGCAGCTTATTCACCCCTCCACCCCTAGGGCCTAGAACGGGGCCTAGCACAGAACAGGTGTCCCGTAAGTATTTGTCCGGTGGATGAACCTGCTTCCCGCATTGCTCTGCCTTCTCATTTCCTAAGGCCCTTCTATTTTTTTCAGCACATTGATGACCACATGCCTTCACTTAACAGCTGAGTGGACCCCACAGGGAATTTGGTCCATAGCAGCTTTAATGGCCTTCCATCTCCCATCCAGCCAGGCCTCAACCTTGCTGCTTTCTCAGCTCCCTTCTAGTCTCCAAGTGGGAGAAAGGTGCAGAAGAGAAATACTTAATGACCACATGTATACACATGTATCAGACTTTGCTGGGGCCCTACAGGTAATGTATCTTTCTTCCCTCTCATAGCGACTCCATCAAGTGGGTATAAGTCCCACTTTACAGATGAGGAAATGCGCTTGAGAAGGTTACATGACCTGACTCCTACCACAAACTAGCAGGTGCCAGAGTCCGCATGTGGCTCAGGCCTGGCAGTTCCGGCCATGGCCCCAGCTCTACGTGGGCCCCGTGTGAACTCCTGTTGCTTCAGCACCTGCTGGCACTCCAGCTCAGGTGAGGTAGGGGCTGTTTTTCTCTGTTCTCCACCGTAGCCTTCGGCTCTAACATAGCATCTGGCACATAGTAGGTGCTCGATAAATATTTGTTGAATGAAGGGATGAGAATCCGCAAACAGACCCTCAGCACTGCTCAGCACCAGCTCCCTGGGGCCCTCCTCCCAGGGGCCACTACTCACTCTGCCCCTCAAGCCCCACCCTGGGCTCCCTTAATCGCCGAAAGCCATTTCCTCTTCTACTCAATTGAAAAGTTCCAGATCCCTTAACATCCATTCCCTATACTTCAAAATTTCTTTCTCCCACCTCTCCTCTTCCTTGCTGCCCTCTGATAGGTGTCAGAGAAAGAGATTTGAGGGCCAGTCCCGGTCATCCCAGCTCCCGAGGGGTTGGTTGGCTCAACCAGTCATCCTGACCGTGCCCTGCCGCCACCCACCTCACTTATCCCTTTTTCTCCCTGCCTTTAGCTGAAGACTTACACTGAGACTTTCCTGAACCCTGTTTTACTCCTCAGTTCTTCTCCTATGTGAACCTTTTATGCTGCAACTTCCCTTAGATGCTGGCCCAGGCTTCCTGCCTGAGACAACCAGCAACACACAGAGCTGAACTGAAGCTTTCTCCCGCCAATTCCCAATTGTTGAACCATGTGGTTCTCTCCGGCATTCTCAAAATTCTCTCCTGACTCAGGTGATGTTAAACCACACACCTGTTTGTGCCCCCCCTTTTCCATTTCTTTTGGGATAAATGCTAAATCTGATCCATGGTGTCCATGCATAATATGAATCTACATCCCTGCCCCAAAGGACTTGGCCCACCCACCCCCACCCCACTCCCCTCTCTGGTCCATCAATGGCTTATATGCCCTCCCACTTCAGAGTCTTTGCATATGCTCTTCCCTTTGCCTGAACCCTCTCCCTTCATGGCAGCCTGCCCTTATCCCTGGACGAGGCTGGTCCCCTGTGACAGTCTGGGAATGCCGTGCTGCCCCTCTGTGACAGTCCCAGCAACTGCGCACAGGATACACCAAGCTGCTTCATGGCTTCTCCCCCACTTAGAGGGCAAAGGCACTGTCTTGTTTACCACATGCCTGGAGGAGGGTCTGGCTGAGAAATGCTCAGTGTTTGAGAACCAAAGAAAGGGCAAATGAGTCTCCCGGTAGTGTTACTCCACAGCAGCCTACCTCGCTGGCTCTCTTCCTCCCACTGCCCTTAAAAGGCAAGAATCTGCTTCTTTCCCCTCTGTAATCTTCTCCTGCCTCTCACTTCTTCCGAGCCTTTGTCTACATTTTTAAGGAGATGCCCCACAAGCCCTCCGCTCCCTCCAGCCTCGTCCTCTCTCCGGGACTTCACCCAGCTTCCACAGTTGCCTGCTGACCTCCCCAGATAGACGGTACCCAGGCTGCTCACAATCACACATCTAAAATGAATGGCTCCCACTCCCTGAGTGTCTGCATAAGCTTGTGTACCCCCTTTCCCAGATAGATACCATAGGAGGTAAATGCTATGATCCCCGTTTTACAGATGAAGAAACCGCTTCACCTTGCACCAAGCCACAGGGCTGGAATCTAAATCAAGGTCTGACCCAGAGTCTGCCCTTTTCCTGTGATGTCACACTGTCTCCTCTTCCCCACTGTGCTCTGAGCCGGTTCTTCCTCCAGGCACCCCTGGTTCTCCAAGGACTCCTCCATTCCACCATCACTCAGGCTTCCAGCCTCATCTGTCTTTATCTCTTCCTCCTACTCCTCTCTTTGAACACCCAGTCACCCGCAATTCATGATTTGCACTTGGTTATGTCTCTTGCATCCTCCCCTTCCTAATATTCCCTCTGCCACTTCCCACATTTGGGCCCTTACAGACTCAGAGCCTAGAGTACTACTGCCTTAACTCATCTCCAGGCTCCCTCTCTTGCATCTACTTGTCACATCTACTTGTCACTCCAGGCTCCCTCTCTTGCATCTACAAGCACTACTTACTGGGTTGCTCCCTTCCTGCTTTGGAGCATGCAGCAGCTCTCAGAGGCCTATATGATAAAACTCAGTGTTTTATTGTATAGGATTCCAGGTCCCCTCCACAACTCGTTCCTACCCACCTGTCCAGCCTGTCATCTGCTTGGAGCTCTACATTTTGCCAGACTGGACCCCTTCTCATGGTCCAAACATGCCTTAGCTCTATCTTTCTTCAAGACTTTGTTTAAACTCTTCTCATTACCCAGCATGCCCTCACCCACTCTTAGATATTCTACGTGGCCCGGCTCAGATGCAATCTCATTAGGAAACCTCTGACTACCTGACTCTCTCCTAAAGCCTAGAGACCCCCTTTTGAGCCCGTTCTCAGCTGTCTAGGTCCATGAAGCCATCTACACTGCAAGCTTTGTGTGGCAGTGGCTCTGGGGGGACATCTCAGAATTCCCTCATTGCACCTGGCACATGGCAGAGGCCTATAAAATGTGGTCCTAGAAGAATAAGGGGAAGGAAGGAAAGAAGGGGAGAAGGAATGGAAGGGAAGGAGAAAAGGAGGGAGGGAAAGAGAGAAGGGTGAGAAGGAAGGCTGGGAGGGAGGGAGGGAGAAAATGAGGGAAGAGTGAAGAGATAAAGAAGGAAGGAAGGGTAGTTGGCTCACTAGGTGACAGGACAGGCTCACCTTGCCCACTATGACCCTGGGCAAAGGGAAAAGTAAACAAGCATCAGCCCAGCTCAATAGAGGGGTGGGGTTGGGTGTTCTGAGGATGCTTCTTACTTTCTCATTGGCGGTCCTGTTTAGGTAGTAATCTCGAGAGGGGAGAAAGAGCCCAGATTGGTCCACCTGCAATAGCAAGTCACGGGAGTGAGCCTTCCCCCAACACACACCTGGTCTCTTGTACAGGGGGGGAGCCACCCCAGCCTGCCTGTCATAGGGGAGGAGAGTCTGGGCTCCGCAAATGGTCCTTAAGTTCCCCCCAACCCTTCTCCAGACTGGTACCTGGATAACATTGCTGTTAGAACTCTTGGAGTCGGCACTGACGTAGACAGTGAAGAAGGGGGTGGCCCTGTAGGTCCCTGCTACTGCCTTCAGCACTTCCATGAAGTTGTCCTCGTCCCAGGGCCCCGTAATGTTCCAACCACCAATCTGAGTAGAGACCATAGTGGAAACTATAGCACAGGGGCCCCCAAAGCTTTCTGGGGCCACATCCTCTCCCAAGACCTATCCTGACCTCCCCCAGGGGTCCTACCTTGTCAATGAGGTCTCGCAGCGGCTGGGCTCCCAGTTCCTCGATGCGCTCCACCTGCAGGCAGGAGAGGTAGAAACGCTGTGTCTTCCGCTCAGCTTCGCTGCTGGAGTTGAAGGTGGTGTTTTCTGTGGGGTAGGACACAGGTCCAGTTGGCAACTATGCTAACTGCTGAGAGGGGTCCTGGGCCCTTGCTTGGTCCTTCTCCTTGCCTTGTGAAGGCATAGTCCTCCTAAAGTAGACCCAGGAAGACTGTCTGAAACAGCCAAGAGTGACTTCCTCTCCCCTGTCCATGGAAACCCTCAAAGATCTCTAAACACCACAGACTCCCTGGTGCCTACCACACCTCAGCAGTGATCCAAACAGAGTGCAGAGAACAGTCCCTTCTTTATATACTCAGAGGTCTGTCCCCTCAAACCCATCTCCACCTCTCAGGATACCCCTGCTCTCTGCATCCCCCACCCGAGGAGAGTTTGTAGTCATCCACTTATTCATTCAGTCACGGACATTTATTGAGTACCTAAATGCAAAGCCCTGTGCCAGGAGTGAGTTTTACTTGGCACAATGCCTCCCCGACAGCCCCACTCACCAAGCAGGTGCTTCAGTATGGCCTGGTTCTGGTCCCAGAGGCTGTTGAAGGTGTTCCAGCGAGAACGCCCATCAGGCAGAGGATTTCTCTGAATCCAGCCTCCACAGGAAAACTGGTAAAAGTCCTCACAGGGACTCACCCCACGGTCCAGAGACTCCAGGATTTTTCCAGCCACTCGAATGCAGGCCTCTGTGAGGCAGGTGCTATGGGATGGGTCTGCGGCAGGGAACATGGTGGGGGTGGGGGTAGGGGACTGTCGGTGAGTCTGGGAAAGGCAAATGCTTTGGGAAGGGCCATGACAACAAGAAGGTTGGGAGGAGAGAGAAAAGCTGGGGGAAGACTGGCCTGACCAGAAAAAACCTTAGTGGCCCTTGAGCCCCCGGACACCCCCACCCCCACAGCTAGGAGGGCTGGTGACAGGTGTGGGCCCACCCTACCTTTGTGGTACTGGACCCCCAGGGCCACCAAGCAGCCCAGGAGCAGCGCAGCCAGCAGCAGAGAGACAGCTGCTAAGACCAGCTCCAGTGGGGTGTGGGAGCCCAGGAAGTCTCTTGTCCTCTTCCGGAATCCCACCTGGGGAACACAGGGTGCCAGTGAGCTAGCAAGCTGCTGGTGGGAATCCAAGATCACAGAAGTCCTCCCAAAGGGTGAAGACACAGGCAGTTTCCAGAGCCATGGAGCAAAGACGCTAAAGGGGTTGACTTTGGGCACAGGGGCACAAGGCGGTCTGAGCTGAGTCCTGAGCCCGCTTTGTGCAACGTCATGGCTTACAGTCGCCTCACCATAGTTCTAGCGCAGAGGCCAGAGATGAAGCTGAGGTGGGGGCAGGTGACCCTCCAGGTCAGCCCAGAGCTCCTGGGTCTGCCAGGCGTCACGTCAGGGCTGGGGCCTGGCGAGAAAGGGGGAACCCCCTTGCCCACCTCCACAGCGTCCGGGGAGGCCCCGCCCTCTACGGGGGTCTCAGGTACGTCTTCCTCCCGCAGCGTGGTCCGTTTGTATTCCACCATCTGCCAGACAGTCGGGGGCGCCAACCGAGGTCAGGCAGAGAGGGCCCTTTGCCCACTGCCCTGCCCCAGTGCCCCTGGCCTGGCCGGGCGGGCCCCCTCCTGTCCGCAGGGAGGACCCCCCTCCCCTGCCGGGCTCTCCGGCCTGGGGCGCCCCCGACCCGCGCCCCCTCCGGCACGCAGCCCCTTCTCCGCCAGCCCGAGCCCCTGCCGACGCCTCCTGCCCGCTCGGCCTCAACCCCTCCACGCAGTCCTCTCCCGGAGCCCGGGGCCCCCACTCACGTTGCCGCCGCCGCCCAGCTCCTGCAGCGCGACGTTCATGGTGGAGTAGGGGCGGGAGGCACCTTAGGGCTCCCGGCGGCTGGCCCTCGCCCAGGCCGCGGCCTCGGCCCCCGGCCCGGTCCCGCCGCCGCCCGCCATCAGGCCGCCGCCGCCGCCCCTCGCTGCTCCGCCGCCGCCGCCCCCGCCGCCCCCGCCGCCCCGGCCTGCCCGCGCCCCCTCCCGCCGCGGCGCCGCGCCCGGGGGTGGGGGGTAACGTGGGGGAGGAGCGCGCCGGCCGCGGCCCGCCACCCGCCCTGTGCCCGGGCGTCGCTCCGGTGCCCGCGGCCGCCCTCCGGTGACGCCCGGACCCCTGTCCTCTTCAGGATCAGCCTGCCCCCCTCCCAGCATTACCCTCTTGCAAGCCACCCCTGATTTCCATGCCTTTGACCCAGGCCCAACCCCTGGTGATAGTTCTTGGCCCCATTCCCCACTTTGCAGGCCCTCACCATCCCCCTTAAACACCTTTAGGAAATGATGCTTTCGGGAGGATCATCTGCCCGCAGCAATCCACACAGCCCCTCTTCAGCCAGCGCACAAAGAGCAGCACACGGGGGTCGACCCACATACAGGCTGTGTACACGGCATCTACCCAGAGAGCACACAGACCCAAAGTACACAGGCAGGCACTCAGCCCAACACATGGTCCACACACACGCAAGACACACACACAGGGTACGCACTGCACACTCACCTTCTGTACCTCTACGAGGCACCCCGAGCCAACACACAAACTACACTGTCCTTCTGTACATACACACGGCCCACGCGGACAGCGCACACACATAACCCACACTCTGACTACTCTTCCCCGTTGCTTCCAGACTGCACTTTTACTCCCCGAGATAATCGTTGTCATCAGATCATCTCACAAAGGGAGGGTTACAGATGGTGACAAATTGGCAGGGAAAAAAACAGTCATGCACGGATATTTAAAGAAAAGACGTGCTAACACTTCTAACTTGAGGAAAGCAAACCATTTTATTTGGGAGGTTTACAAGAAAAAAAAAAAAAAACCCGAGCAATATTTAACTGAAAGGCAATAGTGTGGCATCTATGCATCTGCCATCTGCCTTCCATATTGTCATTCCTTAATCAGGCCTGGTGGTGTTGCAGTTGGCTGCACTGAAAGAGTGCCTAGTGGGTTTTTTTGCCACAGTTTTTAAAAAAGTGCCTCGTCCTCCTCCCTCTTCCCCCAACAGAGTACATGAGTTTGACCTGAGAAGGCTCAGAATGGTGGCAAATCCATAATCCATTTCTCGACACTCACCTCAGTCCTCAGCTTGCTGCATGAGGTTCTAATATGGGCTGCTCTTATGGCTGAGAAGGGGGGTGGATGATGAATTGATCAGGCTGAGAATGTTGGATCGCTTTCTTTGGCATTTACACACACACACACACACACACACACACCGCCAATTTCATGTTCTCAAATAGGAGACAGTATAGTGTTATAGGTAGGATGAAAGATTCTGGATTCACACTCAATGTCATCACTTGTAAAATTGAAATAAGAATAGTACCCATGTCAAAAGACAGTGTCTGGCATGTAAAGGGCACTCAATGTGTGAGCTGCTATTTTTGTGTTACTGTTGTTAAAATCCTATGGATAGAAATGAGAATTTTAAGGTTGGAGGAAGGCTGTTCTATTCCCTCCAGGTAGATGGGTTCTAGGTTAATTAGGGGTTCCCTGAGCAAGAAGCTTCACATTCAGCCATACTGGGGTCTGCAGCAGCAAGGCCTTGGAATATCCACTTGGGACAGTTTTCCGAAGTTGTTTGTGTTCACTCTGATGACAATGTGGCATCACAGCACTCACCTCTTTCCCTTATCACCCCCAAAGCTGGATGAAGGGGAATGTGGCAGCAGGGGCAGTCTGGCCCATGGGAAATTCCACCATGGCATGACCATGTGAGTGTAACCAAAGCTACTATGTAAGAACCTCCTGGCAACAGGCTCCTTAGAAATAGTCCTGTTGCTCCATGCCACAATGGAAATAGCAAGCTTATATAGCACTTTAGTATGTGCCAGCCACTGTTGTAAGTCCTTTACATCTAGGTTCTCTTTTACCCTCGTGGTGATTATGAAGCCATTTTACGGATGAGGAAACTGAAGCATAGAGAGACTAAGAGTCACATGGCTAGTAAGTAGCAGAGCTGGGATTCAAACCCAGGCATTCTGGCTGCTTTCTGGAGAGCACTTTGGCAACAGGAATCAAAAGGAGGATATACTTCCTCCCAACATTAGTTGCTGGTTTTCTATCACATTTTCTCTGCAAAGGTAAGGGGAAACACATCAGTTTTCAAGCCAGACAGAACTGGACTCAAATCTGGGCTCAAATCTTGATCAGCTGTATGATCTTTATCAAGTTACTTGAAAGCTCAGACCCTTAATTTTCTTCATCTGTAAAATGGGAACAGTCATCAGTGTCTCAGAGAGTTGCTGTGACAATTACATGCAACCACTTAGGAGAGAGCCTGGTACCTAGTTTTACAGTGCTCTCAGTTTCACCAGGCTTGCCCTAAATGCACATTTCCTTTCCATGTCTCTTTCCTGATTCAAATCATTTATTAGGCTCATAACTATTCCTGATTACATGTTAAATACCCTAGTATGAGAGGCTTGGAGGTTGCTCTACTCTATAATTCTATTTTCTTTTCTCTATGTTTAACACCTTTGTCTTTTTTTCTCTCTCATTCTATTATTTTCTTCCTCTCTATCTTTTCTGCTCTTCTTTTCGTATTCCTAAAATAATCTTTCTTTTGGTCTTTTTTTTTTTTTCCCTTCTAAATTGATTGTGAATTGAGAGGAAATGGACAACAGTTATATGCTAAACTTAGAAGGACAACGTAGTCGTCAAGATAACAAGACACATTAATGTCCAGTATTGACAAAGATGGGAAATATGGGCACTCTCTAGATTGTTGGTGGTTTATAAATTGATATAACTTTTTTGGCAATATGAGTCAAAAGGTGTAAGTGTAGGCGCCTGGGTAGCTCAGTTGGTTAAACGTCTCCCTTTGGCTCAGGTCATGATCCCAGGGTCCCTGGATGAGTCCCACATAGGGCTCCCTGCTCCACAGGAAGTCTGCTTCTCCCTCTGCCCCTCCCCCCACTTGTTCTCTCAATCTGTCGCGCTCTCTCTCAAATAAATCAATAAAATCTTTTTTTTTTTTTAAGGTGTAAGTGTATATACTCTGAACCAGAAAGTCTAATTCTGGGAAATTGTTCCAGGAAATAAGCATTATCTATAGGATGTTTGTATTAGTTAGCTTTTGCTGCAGAACAAACCTCCCCAAACTTTGTGGCTTAAAATAGCAAACATTTATTATTTCTTATGTACTTCAGGTTGATTGGATGGTTCTTTGGTTCCACATCAGCTCAGCAAGAGCTGGATGGTATAGCTGAATGGCCTCACTGCCATGTTTGGGCCTCAGTTGGGATGACTGGGCCCTGGCTCTATGTGGTGTCTCTTCCAGTAGTCTAGCCCAGGCTCCTTCATATGGTGGTCTAAGGATTCCCAGAAACAAAAAAACGGGGCAAGCCCCAGTATGTAAACAGTTTTCAAGCCTCTGCCTGTCCCACATATCCTAATGTCCTGATTGGGCAAAACAAGTCAAATGGTCAAGCCCAGATTCAGGGAGGGAGAAATAGAATTTACTACTTGATTGGAGGAGCTACAAAATATTGGGACCATTTTTCCCCTACAAGATTTATTCATCACAGCTCGGTCTGTAATAACAACAAAACCAAACAGGGGCACCTGGGTCGCTCAGTCGGTTAAGCGACTGACTCTTGATTTCAGCTCAGGTCATGATCTCAGGGTCCTGGGATGGAGCCCCACTTCAGGCCCCTGCTTCAGGCTCTGTGCTCAGTGGGGAGTCTGCTTGAGGATTGTCTCCCTCTCCCTTTGCCCCTCCCCCAGCTCTCTCTCTCTAAATTAAATAAATAAATCTTTAAACAAACAAAAGCTTAGAGGACTAGAAAAAAAAAGAGTAGAGGTCTTGTTGAATAAGTCAAACAACCATACAATGGGATAACAATGTAACATTTACAAAGGATGGAAAGGAAGAGTTAATGCTCTGGGAAAATATTCTCCATATAGAATGAAATGGGGGAGTAAAAGGGTTACAAAATCTCATTTTTGTGAAGCAAAAATGTATAAAAGCCCAGATTTTAAAAAAGAGATCGGAAGGACAGCAACAAAATGTTAACATATCTAATGATGAGATTACTTTTAATTTCTTCCTTATGCTTTCCTGAATATATAGCTAACAATTCTATTGTCTTGCACTTACCTAAGGACTTTACATATGTTAATTTACTTAATCCTCACAATGACCCAATAAGATATAGTCTAGCAGTATCATTGTCCCTATTTTACAGATGAGGAACCTAAGACACAGGGAAGCTTACCAACATACCCAACATCACACATCAGGTAGAAGGCAGATCCTTGATTTGATTCTAAATTCCATGCTCTTAATTAATATTCTTTCTTCTAAGTCAATTGACTTGTCTGGGACCAGAGTGTAATGATTGGTAAATGGTCTATATCATTAGTTTTAAACCTTTAAAAAAATCATCAAAAACTTTTTATTGTGAAAGTAATATACTCCATAAGTATATGGAATAAAAAGATGAAATTCCACCTGCAAGGATCCCAGTACCATCCTCAGAGAAAACCATTATTAGCAGTTGAGTATGTATCCTTCCAGATCTTTCTTTTATATGCATTTACATACCTAAACACACAGTGTGTATGTGTATGTGTGTGTGTGTGTGTAGGTGTGTATGCATAAATGTGTGTGTATACTTTTTCCCCCATATATGAAATCACACTCTACAGTCATTATTTGGTGACATTTTGGCAGGCTTTGGAGATCTTACTATGTCAATCCGCACAGATCTGCCTTATTCTTTTTTGTGATTTATCAGCCTCTGCTAAATAAAATAAGTCCCAGAAATACCCTCCTGGTATGGACTTCCTTCAACAGGGTGAG